AGAGATTTATTTTGGTTTATTTTGGTTTCAGTCCAGATTGAGCTGGCTCCAAGGCAGCAAAAGGATGGTAGCCGGGCATGGCAGAGGATAAAGGCTCGGTGGCGAGGGGCGGAGGAGGAAGGGAAGGGAGGGGTATGGAGGGAGGGTAGGGCGGGAGGGGGAGGGGCGGGGAGCCGGAGAGATTAAGTTTTTGTGTGTGTCCCTGTGTGCGTGTGTCATTTTAAGGTGGCTCGGGAGTGGCCCGGAGGAGCCGGCGGTGGCCCGAGGAGCGAGGGACGGAGCCGGGAGCCATGCCGCGCTGAGGGGGGGCTGCCAGCCACCGCCACCGCCGCCGGGTGGGGTGGGAGGGGCGGGAGCCGCCGCCGCCGCCGCCGCCGCCTCCCGGGTGGGCGCCCTTCGCCGTGGACGCCGGCGGCCCCGGACGAGGTAAGGGGGCCCTGGGGGAGGACCCGGGCGCCGCCGCCCCCGCCCCACCTGCGGCCGCGGGCTGGGGGCGCCGTGCCCGCGCCTCACTGCGCCACTCCAGGAGGAGGAGGGCGAAGGACACGGAGCCGGCATCCGAGGACATCTTTGGTCCGTTCCCCCGGCCCCGCGTCCCCCCTCGGTGCCCAAGGCTGGACGCTGGCCTGGGGGCTCCTTCCCGCCGCCCCTGGTCGCCGTTTGCGCCAGGATTTTTGTTGTGATGAGAGTTGATGAATGCGAAGTAGGCGGTCACCTTCCTTCCCATCAGGATTGGGGAAAAAAAAAAAGGGAAAGAAAAACCCGGAGCGCAGCGGCGTCCGGAGGGCAGCGGCGGCGGCGGCGGCGTCTCGGCGACGGTTACCTAGGCGCCCCCGGGTCCTGCTCCCCGAGCCCGGTGGGTGCGTGCGCGGGGGCCGGTGGCGACCCAGGCCGAGCGTGCGGCGCGCCGCGGGGACAATACGGCCGGATCCCTAGGGACGGGGAGTCCGAGCACGCCGGGGTGCGGCGGGCCTTGGGCCTGCGAGGCGGGGCGGGGGAGGCTGAGGCAAGGGTACGCTAGGAAGTCGGGGCGCGCGCGGCTCTGGCTCCTGGGGGCGCGGCCCCTGCCAGCCGGGGATCCCGCGCGGCGCCCGGAGAGCGCAAGTGAAAAACGAGGAAACAGGCGAAGTGGAACCCTTTTGTTTTGCCAGCCCGGCATTGTTGGCTTCTCCGGGCAGCCGGGCCACATCTGCTGCCGCCGCGGTCGCCCCCACTGGCGCGCAGGGCTCGGCCCGCCAAACTCGCGGCGGGGCGGGGGTCCTGGGCGGGCCGGGCGGCGGGCGGGGGCCGGGCGTGCCGGGCATTTCCTCTGGCCGGCCGCGCTCCCGCGGGCACCACTTCCTCCTCGCCAGCTGCCCGCCGCCGCCGGCAGCCCTGCCCGCGTGCCTCCCTCACCTCCCCCGCCCGGGCTGCACTTTTCGGGTGGGGCGAACCAAAAAGAAAAAGTTTTGCAGGAGGGGCTGGTTAGGGCGCGCCCTGGGCGGCGGGGACCCAGCGCGGCGCAGGGGTAGCCGGGCCGCGGAGGTCGCCTTCTTCCTCTGGTCCTCCGCGGCGCCGGACAGACCGGCGCGGCCGAGGGAAGCGCCTTTCTTTCTCTATCTCGCGCTTTCCCTGATGCCCCGGGCGAGTTGGGCAGAGGAGCGCGGGAGCCCCGGCGAGTCCAGGCCTCTCGGGCTGGAGGCCAGCGGCGTGGCCGGTCTCCCGCAGCCCACGCCGCGCCCTGGGGTTCGGAGGCCGCGGGCCGGAGAGCTCCGCGCGGGGACCGTGGGCCGCGCCGAGACACTCGCGCGTACACTGCCTCTCGTGGCTCTCTTTCTGCCGGCGATGATCGACGAGGACACGGACTGTGCGTGTGCGCGCAAATGTTCCCAGTTTATCCCTCTCCTCACCCCGTACTTTTCCAGAGGCAGCCCAAGCAGTAGTTAGGTCCGGGGGACCTCACGTTTAGGATTTTTTAGGGGAGAGGGAGGGAATTTTGTTAGGAATGCCCGGCTTGCAAGCGTCCTCGTGGTGGAGGCCACTGGCTATGGCCTACGTCGTCACGCCGGGCTCCCTTGCCCTACCTGGGATAAACATCTTTCTGTGTATTCTTCCCTTTTTTCTTTAAAGATTGGAGATCGGATTAAGTTCTTATAGAGTCAGATATGAGTGGCTTGAACGGTAGACAAGAGAATTGTATTCTGTAAATATGCATTGGGAATTTAAAATTCTAAATGCCTTATTTGCAATTCTGTTGGATATTGTGACTATATTTTTATCTGATATGGGTAATTTTGAAGAGGGGACATTGTATTTGGGTGAAGTTTACGGAGTCATTCTGCCTTCAAACTGTCTTTATTCCTTGAAAGAAGATAGTCTTACTAGGTACTGGGGTGCAAAGACAGTTGAAAACTTACCTCGTGTTCAGCCCCTCAGACTGCTGTTCTGCCTCTTGAGTTCTCAAAGTAGAGCTAGTTTTCACGTGCTATGGTGAATTCTATTTTTAAATGTATTTTTATAAATCCTTTACATCTCGAAGTAGTGCGACTTTAAAGGATCTTGTTTTTTATAATCACTTGGTTTCAAAGAGTACTTACAGCAATTACAAAGTAATATTTTAAATGCTAATTCAACATTTTCTGTCAGCTGCTTTAATATTGAAACAAGGTTTCTTTTTATTTTCTAAGTAGCAGGGACTGTGTCTTAAAGTTAAAACCCTGAATATCCTTTTGTCTGGCTTTCTGGTATTCTCCAGGAAAAAACCCCCCATTGCCCTTTTTTATTGCCCCCAAAAGAAAAGTTAATGAGATGGTAGGTTTCAAGCAAGAAGCAGGCCCTCCCTCTTGCAAAATATCCTTACAGTTGCCGTTGAAGTTGAATGTTAGCCGTGAATGCACTTGGCTTTAATGAAACCAGTTTAATCGTTCACACTTGATCAAGTATAACATGACCAAACAAAAGAAATAAGCCAGCATATTTCTGTACAGCGTTGAGGGGTTTAGTGTGTTGGTGTTCGGTCACCCCCTCCCCCACCCTGCTCTTGTACTGAGGGAGAGGGTTGAAGGCAAAGCGAATTTATGGTCCTGATTGGTTTTCTGTGCCCCAGGGGTAGGGACCCCAGTTACTTCCCTGTGGAAATCACTTACTAGAGGGCATTAAAAGATCGTGGGCTTGGAGCTTGTTCGGAACCTGACAAAATGCTTTCTAGTTTCTTTCTCCTGTTTAGGAAGATACTTAAGCTGAAAGAGTATGTTACCCTCCTCCTTTTTGCTAATGGCACCTTAATATGGCCGAGTGGAGGGTGGTGAGCCCTGTGAGTTATTTATGATTTCACTTGGGATCTTTGAAACTGACCCTTGAATGGGTATTGGGGGGAAGGGCAGGTGGCGTACCTTTTTTTTTTTCTCTTAACTGATTAAAAAAAATTCTTTGTGCTCAAAATGCATTTCCTTGCTAGGCATGAGTTGCAATATATGTGTGGGAAGAGACTCAGAGAAGAAATATTTGCAGTGTGTCTCTTTAAAGTTAAGAAAGTAAAAACGTTTGGCTACTTAAAAATAAACAGTACTGCCACTGTAAAAACACCAGTGACATACTTTGTGAGATATTTTGGCCTTTTAAGACTGAGGCACACCTGTTCCTGTCCCTGCTGAGTCCAGTTTGCTTTCTCTGGCATTGTTAATCTCACCTTGTACGTAAGATGAAACAGTAAAAC